GCTCATTTAATGACATGACTTATAGAAAACGTGACTGAAAAGGTCATTACCTAAACAAATATGGCCAGCTTATAAGTAAGTCTGGTCTGTATATTTCATTTTCAGGAAATGGAAAGGATTGAAGCCAATCACTAGTTTATTGTGACTCTCTTGTGTACTTGGTTCTTTCTGATTCTTTCCAAAGTACACCTCAAGTTATAGGGCAAAATGAATTGTATGGCTTCTTCTAAGCCCTTTACTTTATAGACTTTGGAAATATAGAAAATTATCTCTTATGCTCAAAAGTATTTGCTTTTATGATTTTCTCTTTTGTATGGGGTTTAGATTTCTTATTTTTAAATGTAAATAATAATGATTAAAGTATTATTTATTTTTTGTTTATTTTATGTGTATGAGTGTCTTACATGCATGTATATATTATGCACCACATGTGTGCAATGCCATGGAGTGCAGAAGAGACCATCATAGTCTCTGGAAATAGAGTTAGAGATGGCTGTGAGCTGTCATGTGGGTGCTGGGAACTGAACCTAGGTTCTCTGCAAGAGCAGTGAATGAATGTTTTTCACTGATGAGCTATCTTCTCCAGCACCAGTACTACTGAATTTTTATATTCTACTCTTTTCCCTGGTAACACCTGTTTCTGATGGTCTGGGGAAGTTTGTGGACAGGATAAGGAAATAAGGTCGTGGAGCTTCATTCATGGTTCCAAAAGATATTCTGCATGTCTATTCTGTCTCTACAGATAAACAAACGAGGGCAGCATTTACAGTGACAAATGACATCCTATCAGTTTAGGTTAATAAAATCCAATTTTAAGAGGCATTTTTTGCTGAAGACGAAGCACAAGAAAGCAGTGGTCTAACCTCAAAGTTATAATTTTTTGAGTTTATTTGTAGATATTAATAAACTATTTATTTTCTAGAGTTTATTTGTATCTGTCAGTTTTAGAAAAGTCATATTATCATTTCTGTATTAACTAACTCTTGAAATACTGTTTTTGTATAAAAGAAGTGTATCCTAGTGTAAGAGAAGTACAAGAGAACTTGTCTACTTCATGTGTAAGATGACGTTGAAATGTAAAGTTGCTTACTAAGAAAGTTAATAACATCTAATTGATTTCAGTCCCTTTGTACCTTTGTATCACCTCTCCAGTTGTCTGTCTTCATGTTGTTATAGTCCTCTATTATTATTATTTTTTTTTTTAAGAGAGACAGGGTCTCTCAGTAAATTTAACTTTGAGCTTGCTAACTGGGTAGAATGACTAGCCAGCAAGCCCCAGGGATCTGCTTGTGCCTTCCCTAACATTTCTCTGCTGCACCTGCATTTTTCCGTGAGTTCTAATATCTGAATGTAGGTCTTTATGCTTATCCAGCAAGTACTGTACTATTGAGCCAGTCTTATCCCTGTAGTAACTTCTACAATAACCTCAGGGATGAGGGCATAGTTTAATGGTACACCTAGTATGCATGGTCCTAAGCATTGAAAAAAAAATTCAGAATTTTCACTTACAGAAGTGAAAATTAGTACAAAGAATCCTCCATTCTTTATCTGAATTCCTGAAATATTAGCATTTTTCTACATTAGTTTATTCTGTCTTTTGTTCTTTGTCTTTGTATTAAATATGCCTTGTTATGTAAAACAAGTGACATTTTCTGTAGATATAATACTTGGAATATACTTTGGTTTTAATTATGTTTAGAGTAAAATTTAGAAAAGTAAGTTTTTCTCAAATAAAGAAATACATCTGTATATAATTATATTGTGTTTTTATTTTAAAGTTAGAATGACATCGGCATAATACTCTTAATTGAGCTAGACATTTTCCAGTAGGCCAGTCTCCTTACTGCATTTCCTGGTCCATAATCTAATCCGAAAGCACATCTTACAGTTGCCGTGTTGCTTTTAATCCTGAACAGTTCATTGCTTATTCTTTTTTTTTTTTTTAACAATTTATATATATATATTTTATCAGATGTACATCTGACTACATGTATGTCTGTGAGGGTGCTGGATCCCCTGGAACTGGAATTACAGTGTTTTTGAGCTGCCATGTAGGTGCTGGGAATTGAACCCAAGTCCTCTGGAAGAACAGCCAGTGCTCTCAACAGTTGAGCCATCTCTGCAGCCCCTCATTGCTCATTCTTAATCTTCTATAATTTTAACATTTTGGCGGGGGCTGTTTGTTTGTTTGAGACAAGCTCTTTCTCTGTATCCTGACTGTTCTGGCACTCACTATTAAGGCCAAACAGGCTGGCCTCAAAGTCAGAGATCTGACTACCTCTGCCTTCCTAATGCTGAGATTAAAACCGTGCACCACCATGGACAACTAATTTCAACAGTTTGAGGACTAAAAAAGGCCTTTTTGCAGCCAATTTTGCAGAATTTCCTTATCTTGGGTATATTTAGTTTGTTCTTGTTGAGAGTGTCTTCATTTTTGCCTAAAATGCCACAAAGTATTGTGCATTGTTCCAGAAAGACAGGGGTTCTTGACACTTTCTTCCAAAAATATTTTTAGTTTACTAATTTTAATGTTACTATATGAAAAGCAAAGTAGATATTCTTATATTTGTTAAGATATTATAAATGCTTTATAATTTGATAAATGGCATTTTCTTTTGAAAATGTGTTTAAAGCTTTAAATATAGTTTGTATTTTATGTAAGTGAAAGTGAACATTGCAGTGCAGGGATTGTATCTTTAAACTGTTGAACAATTCCATAAAAATATTTATTCCTGGAACACTTCTGCCAGAATACTGAAATTGATATACCATTCTCTTTATAGACATGTAATACCTTCTTAAGGCAACCATTCAAACGTATTCAGTAGGGAGATGAGAGAAGTCTGTTAAAGAAAAGGAAATTAGATATTCATATTCTTATACCTTATTTCTCGGCATTTGAGTAATGAGGGAAAGGTTTGCAACTCACAGTGTATTTCATTGGCTTAGATCTTAGCAGTGCTAAAGTTCTTGGGTCAGCATGGGAGCTCCGTGTTTTTCTTACTTCACTCACCAACCCCAGGTTTAGGAGGACCAACCTTTTGCTTACTGCCTGGAAAAGGCTTCTGCTTTCTAACTTGCTACATCATAGTTTGTTGCTGTTTTGTTTGTAGTTATTTCTTATGTCTGCATAAAAGGAAATGAGATCATTTAAACCAGACAGCCAAGCACAGGTCATCTAGAAAATTCACCTAATCCTTAAAAGTTAGGGAAAAACAAATAGCTCTCATTTTATTTTTTGTATTTATTTTTTGGGGGGACAGACTTTCTCTGTGTAGCCTTGTCTGTCCTGGAACTCATTCTGAAGACCAGACTGGCCTCGAATTCACAGAGATCTGCCTGCCTCTGCCTCCCAAGTGCTGGGATTAAAGACATGCACTACGCCTCCTGGCCTTTTATTTCAAATCTATTTTTGGCACAAAGTCTGTAGATTAAGGATTGGCAAACTGTGATCATGTGATAAATCTTACCGTTCTTTTTTTTCCTTCTTTCCTTCCTCCTTCCTTTATTTGTTTTTATCTGGCACATCTTTGTCAGAATGCTTTAATATTCATCCACCGATGTATTTCTTTCTGAACCTTATTTTGTGGTACAGTGGCAGAGTTAAGTAGTTGTGACTGAGTGGCCTCCATGCCTAAAATACTTACCCTCCAGCTTTTAGCTGACTTTTGTATCAGATTATAAATACTTTGGCATTCATGTTTTTGTTTTCTATTAACACAGTTAAGGAAATTCTACCCGTACTATGCTCAGTTTTTAACTTATTCAAGGATTGTACAGATAGAAACTGAAAAAAAAATTCCTACTAGGGAATTTGCTGGTTTTATATCATTTGTATGTGTCTTAGTTACTGTTCTATTGCTGTGTTGAGACAACATGATCAAGGCAGCTCTTAATTGGGGCTTGCTTACAGTTTCATAGGATTAGTTTATTATCATGGTGCAAAGCAGGTAGTCATGGTGCTGGAGCAGGAGCAGAGAGCTGAGAGATCCATTGGTAGCAGGGTGGAGGCAGGGATCGGGATGGTGGGGGAAGAGAGAAACACAGGGAGACTGGGCTTTGCTGGGCCTTTGAAACCTCAAAGCCCACACCAAGAGACACATCACCTCCAGTAAGGACACACCTCCTAATCCTTCTGCATAATTCTGGTGGGGACTAAGTATGCAGGTATATGAGCCTATAAGGGCATTTTCATATTCAAACCACCACAGCGTATATTAGATGTAGTAGCTTTTTGCTTTCCAAAGGGTTTATATTTAATTTATGAACTTTTTTGTTAAGATTTTACATAACTCACAGCTCAGTGCATTCAGACACTTAACAATTTGCATTTCTCTATATGTTAGATTGAACTTATTTTTATATTTAAAAGCTATTTGTATTTTTTTAATGCTGCAGTTGTCTTTTTACATCCCAGAACTTTCTTTAGATTTGTTTACTCATATAAAACATATAGTAAATATGTCTCAAAGATTTATTTAACCCTAATGAAGGAATCAGCTTGATAACAAAACCAACTCAGAGAAGAACATGTGAGACAGAAATGTATATAGTTTGCGATAGAGAGAAAATTCTAAGACATGAAACAACAACAGCAAAAAAAAAAAAAAAAAAAAAAATCGTTCACAATTCTGACATTGTTCCTACTGAAACACAACTATTCACAATTTACCAGGCGAAAGTCATTTTGGTTTATTACAAAAGTTGTCTTCACAAGTTGTCTTCTATTTTATGGAGTATATTTTGTTGTTAGTGGTAAATGGTATTAATTCACATAAAATTATCTTGGCCAGAGTATCAAGTGACCATTAGGCTGTTTGCTAACATAACTGTAAGGTCATGAGTATTCTTTTTGCCTTATTTTTAGTTTTAGATAATCAACATTTCGTCTATTTTTTCAGTGATTTTTGTGATGACATTTACAACTTACCAATAGGTAAAGAAGTTGCAAAACTCACTGTATGTTATAAAATAGACTCTTTTTCTTTTTTGTGCTGCAGGAACTCATTATACAATGACAAATGGAGGCAGCATTAATAGCTCTACACACCTGCTGGATCTTTTGGATGAGCCCATCCCGGGAGTTGGTACATATGATGATTTCCATACTATCGACTGGGTGCGAGAGAAGTGTAAAGACAGAGAAAGACACAGACGTGTAAGTGTTTTCAGTGTTTTATAAAAAATAGTGCAAAATGGATCATTTAAAATTACATTTCTGGCAGTGATCTATTCACAGTCTATTCACAATTTACCAGACGAAAGTCATTTTCCGTTTATTAGTCTTCACAAGTTGTCTTCTAGTTTTATGGAGTGTATTTTGTTCGGGATGGTGGGGGAAGAGAGAAATACAGAGAGACTGGGCTTTGCTGGGCCTTTCAAACCTCAAAGCCCACACCAAGAGACACATCACCTCCAAAATGTTATACATTAAAATATATTTTAACATGTTCTATATGGTACATTTCTCCCCTTTATCTTGGTGTTCCTCTTTTAGTTCCTGCATTCCTTATAACTCTGCATTTTTCTGGACAGGGTTTGAGGTAATTTAAAAACAAACAAAAGCATGCAAATAGACAAATTAGGATGGATAGGGAGAAATGCAGCACAAGAGTTGGGTGAAGACAGGCCAAGCCTAATGAGGTCACCAAGATACTTGCTTTCAGCATCTCAGCAGCTAGAGCAAAAGGAACTTTGTTGCATAAGGCTAATGAGAAGGGAAGATAATGTACAGAGGAAAAAAACATTTTGTCGAATTTTGCTGTGTGTGTATTTTTTAACATTTTATTTCCCAGTAATAACTGCTGAGATTTATTCTCAAATTGTATCCTGCGTAAAGTTTTTTTTTTATGTACATATAAGCTACTTTTTTTTTTTTTTTTTTTTTTAAGGGAAAATGGAAAGGAAATTGAGGCATGGTAGTTCATGCCTATAGTTCTAGCAACCAAGTGGCTGAGGTGCAGGAGCCCAGTTTAGGATAAATAGCAAGACCCTATCTCAAAATAAAAGAAACCCCAATCCCAAATCCCACAGTATAGTGAATGCGAAAAAGAGACAGAAATTTTACTTGAAGTAAAAATACTAAATTTGCAAAGCCTCTTTATCTACATACTTGTTTGTGATATCTGAAATTTACTTTCAAAATAAATTTACCCAAATTAGCTGCAACCTTTTGTATTGATGTTTGTTTTTATGTGAAGCCTGAGCCTGCAATAGATTGAGCTGTGTATGAAGCGTACAGATTGTTCAGATGCTCCTGGCCTGGGGGCATAACTGAAAAGAAGCACATGAACCCACTGTTCCCATCTCCTGACTTGTACTCACATGCTCTTTGAACTGGAAAAAAGACTGAGAAACCTCAAAAACTTTTGTTTATATGAAGTAATATTTCCCTGTTAAAGTAAATTCTAGTTCACTTAAAAATTATGATCACAAACCCACATAACCAATAGTACATAAAAACAATTCAGTTCCCAAAATAAAAAAGTATTTGGAGAATGATTTTTTTTTTTTTGGCCTCATGATTGCCTGGCTTTAATAATGGATTCTCATATCTAATAATGGATATCTCATCTCTCCATAATAATGGATTCTCATATCTGCTTTTGTATTCTGATGTTATGTTTTTTGCATAAAGAATAAAAAGAAAATCTCGCCTCACACAGTTGTAGTTTGGAAACCTATGAATATTTCAATAGCCTTTAAAGATTATCATAGCAATTTTTTGATAGAGTAATATAACAAGTAGTAGTTTCTAAAAGATTAGCTATTATATGCATTCTGACATTGCCTTAGTCAACATTGCCTCTTGGTACATTAAAATACATTGCTTCACCTTGAATTTTGAGGATACACTTTCTTAACATGAAATTATGTAGAAAGTACAAGTTTGCTGACCTAAGTGGATTATCAGATGTAAACAGTGGTTGGTCATTTGGTTGGTTGGGAATTTAACTCATGACACACACAATCCTATTGTGCTAGAAATAGTTTCTCTTGCAGTTTCATGGGCTTTCTAGGTTGCCTGTGTTTTTTCTTTTCTTTTTTTTTTTTTTTTGAGAACCATTTTATTTTTCATTTAGCCCATATTGATACTTTTTATTAGATAGTATCATAATATAAGAAACAGAAAATTACCACTGAGTAAAATGCCTTATTTTTTATTGTTTTTAATTTGCTTTACAGGGAGTATCAGCAGTCTTTTCAAAGAAAGTCTTTATATACATTATAGCTTACTTGACCAATACTGTATTTTGGTAAACATTTAGGTGATTTCTGCATTTTTTTTTTAGATTGGTGACATATCAACACTATTACAGATAGTGTTTCTTTACTGAAACTACCCTAGCAAGTGATAATTAAATGACTGTTATATACAAACAGAAGAACAAGAAGAATGGCAGAGACTCTGTCTGAAAATGACTCAATATTATCTTTTTAAAATGTGCTTATTTTCTTTTCAAGGAAAAGAAAAAAAATGTAACTTAGTGATTGTTTATAAGACATGCCCTACTTCCAGATCTAAAAGTGGTTGGTATCTGTGTTTGGATGCTTCTGTTGGAAAGGAATATAATTTCCTCATTCACCTTAGAATTACTATGTCTCTTTAATTGTTTTTTGCGGCTTTTGAATAGATGTTCCACTGGAAATAGAACAGGTCATTGAATTTCAGCTATAGCTCTCCTAAAGGATAGTTGAGTGTTGAGACCCTAGATGGACAGTAGAGCTTCTTAATGCCAAGCTGTGAACAGGACAGAAAGAAGCTAGTTAGGGATGATAGGCTTAGAAACACAGGAAGATGGGCTAGCTGTGCCGTTCTTAATGAGGGGAGATGGGCATCGGCTGTCTTCTGCTTGTTGTTCTCCTAACTGCCTACACTCACAGTTGAGGACATTTTTCTTTTGTCTTGCATAGTGACAGAAGAGTCTTGGGCTGTTACAAGTGGGTTGGAGCTGTACACCTGTGTGTTCACAGTTCTATATGTTTGACCATGTTTTGTATGAGCAGTTTCTGTCCAATTAGTTTTAACTTTTAAACACGATTATATTTTACTTAAGTACTGATGCCAGACGGTTTACCTGTGTTCTCTAAATTCTGATGTGTAAGCTATCTGTGCGTAACAGTTAAGATCTGAATTTGATATCGTTTGAAACAGCCTGGGTCAGACTTCTGTGTGGCTCATCCAGAGGTTCTTAGTAAAATGCAGATCTTTGCATGGTGCTTCTTTTCTGAATTCTAGGTACAACTGTCCTACAGAGTGATTTTGTCCCAAATCTGCTTTGTTATTTTTAATTTACAAGATAATTTTGTATTGTAATAATTTGAGAAAATTAGACTCAAGAATTGTAGAAATACAGTTTATGAAGTGAAACATATTTCTAATTTCAGATCAACAGTAAAAAAAAAGAGTCAGCATGGGAAATGACAAAAAGTCTTTATGATGCCTGGTCAGGATGGCTTGTAGTTACATTGACTGGACTGGCATCAGGTAAGGAAAAAGTTTAAGGCAAACCTTTGGCTTTGTTTGGTTTTGTTTCTACGTTAACTGAATAATTCTCCCCTCCTCTCCTTGAATTTTTATTATAAGACCAGGAGATAGGTTTCTGCATCGTGATTTTGTCTCTGGCACTTTGTCTCAACTTGGCCGATCTCTCTAGAATCCGTTTCAACATTTGTGAATGACTATCTTGTATGCCAGCATCATAATCAATAGCTAATACTTGTGGTGCAGTATTCTAGCAGCTGTCCATGTATTTAAGTCTGATGGCAATCTCCATCATTAACACATACCGTGATATAGATGAGGGACTAAAGCACGAGAAAAGTGAAGTGGCGTGGCTGCAGCCTCATAGCCGTAGGTGGCTCCATACATGGTCTGTTCTTGTAGCACTGCACTGTCCAGTATGGTTACCAAGTCCCTAGAGAGAGGAGTTGAACAACCAATCTGAGTGTCACTAGGGGTAGTTTTGACCATTGTCAACCTCTGCCATGAAAGACAAAACATGAGAAAGTAAGGCACTTGTGGAAAATAGAAGCATTGATAACCGGCATGCGTACAGATTTTGTATTCTGTCCATGTGACCCACTGATTTCCTGTGATAAGAATGATCTAGGTTTGGTTATAACTATATTTTTAGTATTGTGTTAGAAAATGTTCATATGTATAATTTTTTGTTAATTAAGAAAAATTATAAATTTATCATGAAATCAGTGAATGCTGTGAACTTTTAAAATTATATTTAATGAACATTTTATTATTTCTTTTGTTTGAGACATATACTAGCTATACTGGAACTCAATATGTAGACTAAGGCTGCCTTCAAACTCAGAGATCCATGGTCCTCTGCCTCCCAAGTGCTGGGACTAAAGGTGTGTGCTACCATGTCTAGCTATGAGCATTACATTTTAATGAGATTGTACATTTATAAGTCTACTGATTAAGTTTAGGATGGAAATGTGCTGAATTGACATGCTTATTTCAGTTGCCAGAGTTGTGACGCTCCTGTCAAGTAGCTGTTGTTTTTAAAAATGTTTTATTTTAAAAATAACTTTCTCTCTTTTAAAAATTTTAGTTTTAATGATGTGAGTCAGTTTTAATTTCAAACAATATTAATTTTATTTTAAAATGGAGCTATTTATAACTAATACACGTGAATTTAAAATCTTAAATTGAGATAATAGTTTCTAATTGACCCTTTATTTGTAGGATATTTTTGCTTTTTATTACGTGGTCTCAGCTCTCCTTTAATAGACATATTTTGGACCATTTCCAATGCATTCTTTCAGGCGCACTAGCTGGATTAATAGACATTGCTGCTGACTGGATGACTGACCTAAAGGAGGGCATTTGCCTCAGTGCATTGTGGTACAACCATGAACAGTGTTGTTGGGGGTCTAATGAAACAACATTTGAAGAGAGGGATAAATGCCCACAGTGGAAAACATGGGCAGAATTAATCATAGGCCAAGCAGAGGTAAGTCTTTGCTCACAAGTTAGTCACTGCTATAGATGAATGTGTCCACTTCTTTTAGTTAAAGAATTAGCCATCCATTAGGTGATTGTAACCTGCACTGAAGGAAAGAAAAAGTCTGGAAAAGATACAAATACAGTGAGAACAGGTGCAGATTGTTTCAGGCAGCTTTTGTGTTATTTACCTAGCATAATCATATGAATATATGATTCATATAAACATGGTTATGATATAGATTTATTGCAAGTTGTGACAGGGAAGTATATAGTTACTGCAACAGGAGCTGTTGTAAAGTTAATATAAAGTTATTAAAGTGGAATAGCACGTCACTAAGGTTAGAAAATATGAATTATAGAAGTACAAGATATACTTTATAACGTATAAAATCAGCCTCTTTAGGTTGAGATACCTTAAAGAAACTCATACATTTAAAATTTTTAAACATACATTTTTAATTAAAATAGAATTACATCCTTTCCCCCTTTCCTTTTTCTACCTCTAACACCTCCGGGGTACTCTCCTTCCAACTCCTTCTGTGCCCTTCTTACTCTTAAAATGATATTTGATTTTTCTCTTATTATTGTTGCGTACATTTGTATATAACTGTGAATGCATGCATAAATATGTAAATACATCATGTTGAGTCCATTTCTGTTTGTGTATGTTTTTTCAGGGCTGACCATTTTGTATTGAATTACTAATAAGGGGATCATCCTTGGAACAGGCTCCCTCTCCCAGCTGCCATTAGTCCCTACAGTTCTTTGTCTAGGGGTGGGAGCCTGTGATAGTTCCTCTCCTTCCACCTTAGTGGGTCCATTGTTCTGGTCTTGCTTATGCTACCTGTTTCTAGGAGGTACTGTTTTAAGGCAGACTTCTTGGTATTTTGGTTCTAAAATCTTTCTTCTCCCTATCCCCTGAGCCATAGATGCAGGAGCTTTGGCATAGATCTGTCCAGTGGGGCTAGGCTCCATCGGATCAATATTGATTAACAATCTCTTGATCTCTGCAGTACGTTCAGTTATGGTCCATTTGCCAGGAAAGGTGCCTCTCAAACAAAATGAGTTACTAGGCCTTTACTGGAACTAGGCTTATGTATTTGCAAATGGTAGAAGGTCATATGTTTTTCTTTCTAGTAGTACAATATTTAATATTATTATAATGATGTTCTAAAATAAAGCTTAAATTTAGGATACTAAATATATTTTACATATTCATATATGGACATGTTTTTTAAAACTTTTGTTATTGCCAAAGTTTAGGTCGAAAGAATATTTTTTTGTTATTATCTTCTATGTGTTGTTTATTACCTGGCGTAATTGAAGTCAGTTTAATGATCTTCAGGAGAACTGAAACAGAATGAAATCTGAGTACCAGGAGCTGGAGAGATTCACTGGTTAAGAGTCGTCACTGTTCTCGCAGAGGATCAGAATTCAGTTCTTAGCACCACATGGAACTGTATAGCTTCCATGTCCTTTTCAGTACTCTGTGGGCTTCTTCATGCATGTGGTTCAATAAATGCACATAGTCAAACATACACCCACATTAAACAAACAAATAAGAAATCTACAAAAGAAAGGAAAAGTCCAAGTGCCAACACAATTTTATCTCTACCAACAATTTTTAAAACATTTGTGGGTAGTCATAGGTCAATGAGTAACAAGTCTATGTAACAAGACTTTAGGAGTCAAGAAAACTAGGAAAGTTACTAAATGGGAGTACACTTTTGGATTTTACGTAAATATCTTGTTCATATAAAGCTTTTGTTATTATGGAAATAAACCAAGACCCGCCCCCCCTCCCCCAAAAAAAGGGGTTTCTCTGGGTAGCCTTGGCTGTCCTGGACTTATTTTGTAGACCAGGCTGGCCTTGAACTCATAGCAATCTGTCTGCCTCTACTTCTGACTCCCTGGGTGCTGGGATTTCAGGCTTGCACCACCATGCCCGGGAAATTTTAGAACTTTTACCCAGTTGGTATATGGTGTCACGTGCTTATAGTCCCAACTACTGGGGAAGCAAGAGGATTTCTTTAGCCTAGAAGTCTGAGTTTGGTCTAGGCGGCATATCTGAATCCCAAATCTAAAATCAGTGTGACAGTAATGGTAAGTTTTACATAAGTTTCTTATGTGGCAGGCACTTGAATTGGTGGTGCACTGTAAATTATGTTCATACTCTGAGCTGTTTTTGCCTTTTAGGGCCCGGGGTCTTATATCATGAACTACATAATGTACATCTTTTGGGCTTTGAGTTTTGCCTTTCTCGCAGTTTCCTTGGTGAAAGTATTTGCTCCATATGCCTGTGGCTCTGGAATTCCAGAGGTAAGTCTTTTAATGTTCATTGAAAGATAATTGTATGCTGCTTTTTATCTGTAGGAATTGTACTTTTTAGAAAATAGCTTTTTTTGGTTAACATGAAAAAGAAAATTAAAAACATACAAGCTGGGCCTAGAGATATCTGTAATAAAAAGGCTTATCTTATCACCATCAGTAATCTCCCCCCCCCCTCTCTCTCTCACATACACACACATGCGCACACACATGCACGGGTGCACTTCTTACCACTAATATATAGCTCATAAGTAAGCATATCAGGTTTAAATAACAAACATTTCAGAAGTGTTCTGTGGCCTAAAGTTCTTTGGTGGATTAGTTGATGCTTTGCTATTTGGCTCTAATTTTAATATTCCCTTTTCTTTCTAAGACCGTTGACTAGATAAATACGCTAATGACTCATAAATTTGGTTGTTTTTATGTTCTAAGAAAATAATTTTAACTGAGGAGGTTAGTAGGATAGATGTTTGCTTTTATTTCATCGGTAGTAATTTAAAAGAGAGTAACACTTAGGCTTGAACTCATTTAGCTCTACTTTTAATTTTTTTAGTGTATTTTTTCCTAATATATCCTATTACAGTGATTTTTTTTTTAAAGCTATGTAGGTAAAGATATTGTGATCAGTTGTCATTCATCCTCTGTGGTATAGGTAAGAAAATACCACATGATTACAGTGTGGTGAGGAGGCAGAATGTCTTTATTCTTGACAGACAAATGTATTTAAATACTTTGTACTTATTCCTACAACAGAACTTTTAATATTTGCCTTTAATTAATTATATATCATTATGGTCCTGCCTTTACTTTACCATGATCCAGCATTTTGATTTGTTCCTGAGATAAGATTGCCTCTTAGTTTTGGTTGACTAATTATATGATATAGATTTATTGTATATGATGAAATAGTTTTTTTAAATTATGAGTTATTTTATACTTCACTGATGTTTGGTAAGTAGTTTGTGAGTGAAACATGAGACTGTTTAGCTCGCTTACATTTTCACGTTTCCTAAAGGAAATTAAACTGCCTTCATTATTCCTTTGTAGATTAAAACTATTTTGAGTGGATTCATCATCAGAGGTTACTTGGGAAAATGGACTTTAATGATTAAAACCATCACATTAGTGCTGGCTGTGGCATCAGGCCTGAGTTTAGGAAAGGAAGGTCCCCTGGTACATGTTGCTTGTTGCTGTGGAAATATCTTTTCCTACCTCTTTCCAAAGTACAGCACAAATGAGGCTAAAAAGAGGGAGGTAAGTGCTGTTTGTATAGTTTATTTAACAGAAAAATGAATGTCCATTGAATGACGTCTGTTGAATGATTTTTGGATAAGTTATGTGTTCAGATTAAAACATGAGGTTAGTCTGTTCTTGTTGTTGTTTGTTTGTTTTTTCCCTAATTTGCACCTGTCTGGAATTGATTGCTGGTTTAGTCAGACTAGGTAGACCCTTTCAGTTTCAGTTGATTTCTTCGAAGATCTTTGCTATTTTTATTTCCATGGTTTTTGACATTATTGCTTGGGAAGGTGGGCTATATTTTTTTCCTGGACATAGGCCCTAATGTCATGGAAATGGTATGTGTTCCACAGAAAGCCTTCATGAAATCAGCCTGGGGAAGTTCTGAGGGCCTTCAGGATGTTCCAAGTTTAAGTCAGAAGTTAACTTTATAGGGAACGTGGGAAATCCTCATTATTCAGATGCTTTAAAGTACTTCTGTTTTACTCTTCTAGGCCAACATGAACTTTTCTAGCAGACTAGACTTCAGCTCATGTTTCTTTCTTGTTGTGGGTGTTTCTGAAGGAAAAGCAGGATACTGAGCATTTCTATAGACTTGAGTTTTTTAGCCTCATAATCTTTGAGAGTCTGAAACTATGTTTTTGTAAACTAAACCTACAGTCTTAGATGGTACAGAGATCTTACAGGTGTTAAGGTATGGCTTTTACATCTCATCAAGGGTTGATCTCAGGCCGTAGCCTTTCATCCTGTTGTTACTAGTGTAACCCTCCCCCCCATACACATATTTTATGAGTTTCTTTATAGATATCCCTAAAGTGGATCATTTAAAAGACTCATATTTTCATATTTGAATGATAATTGTAATTTCATTACTTCATCATGTATCTAGTACATGTATCTACTTTGGAAGTATTAGCTCACATTGTAAAACTAATATCTAGTAATTATTACTATTATAAAAATAGTAGTCCTAGTATGGCACTGCCAGCCTCATTTATAAGTTAGGAAAGTAGGGCTTTAAAAGGCTAGCAGACATGCTCAAGATAACAGACAGTTAAGTATCAGAATGTGGATTAAAATGCATCTTTCTCTGATTCTAAAAACTGTTTTTAAGTACTGTGCTGTTGTTATATATATATAATAACATATATATGTTAATTAATAACATATATATGTTAATTAAACATATATATTTATATATAATATAATATATATTAAAAATATAATATATTTAAATATATATATATAGAGAGAATATATATTATATATCTATAAAAAAAAAACCCTGAAATATCCAGATCCTGTATTGTGAGATTCTAGGTGTTATTCTGAGCACTTTCTATATATTCACTGAGTGCCATTATCACAGTCATGATAGAGAACAAGGAGACCAGAGGCTGAGGTTCTTATCACACCTGCACAGCCAGTGTGGGCCAGAGGCCAGCGTCATGCAAGTCATGCTCAATACAACCGTTTATCTTCTAAGTTTTCTTCCAGAAAATTTGTATAATTTGATGATTTGAAGTTACTCTCAGATGTTTACTAATAGTGAAAGGAATAAAGAGTCTTAATAATAATTCAATAAAGTTCCAAAGAAATTACAGTATAGGTGTTATCCCGCAGGTGGGAAGTGAACAAGGATCAAGTACCCCTAGAGAGTTGCTCAGGGGGCCTACAAAAATGTGTGTGGATTTTTTTCCCTTGAAATTATCTTTACCAACTAGTTGGTGACTAAAGAGACTGCTGTTCATATTTTTAGAATGATGCCTTTGGAACATACTTAGAATGATCAAGTGTGGCAGGATGTTCAGAGGGCATAGGGTAGTTATAGAGAAACTGTTTGATGAACTGTAATATCTTTGATAAGGCTTAGAGTAATTACTAATGATGAAGCCGTTAGCTCCAAAATCTGGACAATTTATATCCTATTTACAGTAAGTAAACATTTACTCCCATTCCACATTTTCTCCTCTCCTCTGTTTGTACAAACATAAGTATTAAGGGTTGCTTGTATTCATTGCTTTTGCTTTACAGTATGTTCCCGTTGGTATGTTTGGCGTTAATGTTTTGACTGTAAAGAAAAAGTGCAAATGAGTTTAAAATTAATGCTGAAAAAATAACTTTTTAGAAGAAATGAATACTTGTCCCTTGGTTTGCAAGGAGGATGTATAGGTTAAGATCAGAAGAGGCATTGGAATAGCATGGAATACAAAAGTTTGTTCAATGTGTTTGAGTTGATAATGAAACTAGAAACAAGCCACCCTCTCTTTCTAGGTGCTGTCAGCCGCCTCAGCTGCAGGTGTTTCTGTAGCTTTTGGTGCACCGATTGGAGGAGTTCTTTTTAGTTTGGAGGAGGTAAGTACAAAAGCAGAGAGCATTGAAAATGACAGAATTACATTTGTAGTTGTATCTTGGTGAACATTTTAGGTTTATAGCTGGTATAATTGAATTTAAGTTCTCAAGTTTACTTTTAGAAAGTTTTAAAGTACTTCTCACATAAAAAGTAATCACTACATAATATTGTGTTTTAATTTTTTTTCAAAAAAAGATTTGTTTTTAAATTATGTGTATGGATCTTTGTTTGGGTATTTGGTGTGAGTGCAGAAGTCAGAAGAAGGCATTAAATCCCCTGAAGCTAGAGTCATAGACTCCTGCGAGCCACTGGGAGGAGGTGCTGGGTGCCCAACTTGAATTCTCTCTAAGAGCAGGATGTGTGCACTTTATTGATGAGCCACCTCTTCAGCCTCCTGCTTTAGCCTTTTGTTCGTGTGTAGATATTGTTTCCAGCTGAACTTATTTTGTTGAAATATTTAAAACTAGCAAAATAGGAATTTTACCAGTTTTAGTAAAAGTACTAAGAACTTTATATCTGTGATGGCTAAATTATAGTCTGTTTTTTTATTTTTACTATTTTAAATCAATTCATAAGACTTTTAATTAAACTTATGATTTGCTTGTTTAAAATTCATATGATTATTTTTTCTTTTTTGTATGAGTATTTCTTAAACAGTATGTCTAAGGAAATAATTTTATTCAGTGGAATATATATTTTTTTATAGAGGAGACAACCCCCTTTTTAGTAGTTAACAATAATTAGTAAGAAGATGTTTATTTTCAGCCAACACGATTGAATTAAATATGAAACCCCTTTGGAAAACTAAACAGTCTTGGTATTCTAAATGATTATTAAACTTTTATAATCAGTTATTGTGAATTTATAGTTATGCTAATAAAACAAAAACATTTTTAACTTCCTATTGTCTTTGTTTTTTTTTTTAATTTTTCATTAAAATATTTTTTTTTACACTTAATTTACTTTGTTTCCAGGTAGTAGCCCTCTCCCTCATCTCCTCATGGTCCCATCCTCCCTCCCTCTTCTTTCCCTGTCCCTCTTCCCTTGTCCACTGATAGGGGAATTCTTCTTCCCCTACTGTCTGACCCTAGCCTATCAGGTCCCATCAGGATCTCTGGATCCTCTTCCTCTGTGGATTAGCTAGGTCACCCCACCAGGGAGAAGTGATCAAGGAACAGGCAACTGAGTTTATGTAGAGACTGTCTCTTCTCCCCTTTCTAGGGGACCCACATGGAGACTAAGCTTTCTATGGTCTATATCTGGGCAGAGGGTCTATGTCCTTCCTATGTGTGGTCCTTCCTTGAAAAAGCATTATTTTTTCATTAGGACAGATCGTGTAAATTCAAGCTGCAACAAAGCTTGAGTTAGTTAAAGTGAAGTTTGTATTTACCCGAGTTATAGTTACTCAGAAATAGTGATCGTTATTTTTTCTTTTCTATTCTTTAGGTTAGCTATTATTTTCCTCTGAAAACTTTATGGAGATCATTTTTTGCTGCTTTGGTAGCAGCATTTGTTTTGAGATCCATCAATCCATTTGGTAACAGCCGTCTGGTCCTTTTTTATGTGGAGTATCATACACCATGGTACCTTTTTGAACTGTTCCCTTTTATTCTCCTGGGGGTATTTGGAGGGCTTTGGGGAGCTTTTTTTATTAGGGCAAATATTGCCTGGTGTCGCCGACGCAAGTCCACCAAATTTGGAAAGTATCCTGTTCTTGAAGTCATTATTGTTGCAGCCATTACTGCTGTGATAGCCTTCCCCAACCCATACACGAGGCTCAACACCAGTGAACTCATCAAAGAGCTGTTTACAGATTGTGGGCCACTGGAATCCTCTTCACTTTGTGACTACAGAAATGACATGAATGCCAGTAAAATTGTTGACGATATTCCTGACCGTCCAGCAGGCGTTGGAGTATATTCAGCTATCTGGCAGTTATGCCTAGCACTCATATTTAAAATAATAATGACAGTATTCACTTTTGGTATCAAGGTAAGTGCTCATGTGAGATGATACTGGAATAATTTAAAGATGTCCAAAATACTTATGTATAATAAATGAAAATTTTTTCTAAGTGATTGCTGTTCTGAGACCAGGATCTGAAAAGGACTTAACTGGTCTGAATACAAGAGGTTTGTAGTAACTTCCTGAGACAGTGGAACAGAGTCTGTTTTTCTGCATTTTCCAAGCTCTAGGGGCTGTATGCATTCCTTGGATTATGCTCTTTTTTCTTGCATTTTTAAAGGCAGCCACAGCTGGCCAGATCTTTCTCCTCTAATTCTTAGAAATATAAATCCTGCTTTCGCATGAAAAAAAAAAAAAAACCTCTAGGATTATTTTTAATCTACCTAGATAATACAGAATAATCTCTTGTTTTAAAATCAGCTGGTTAACAACCTTAATTCTTAGCAACCTTAAATTTTCCTTGCCATGTTCACAGATTCAAGAGAAGCCATTATTCTGCTTTCTTTATCATTGTGGTGTGCTAGCTTAAATTGACACTGCGGTCTTAGAATCAAATGCTGGCTCTATAAATAATGTGACTCTATCAGGGACTTAAAGTCAGGAGTCCTAGAAAATTGCTTTTCTTAGACTATATTTACAGCTTTCTTAGGAATGCAGACATGGCGAAACAAATGTCAGCTTGCTATATACTTTCTGTAAATCATGAGTCCTGTACTTCCTAAAGCAGTTGGTACTTGGCAGGGATAGCATACATTCACAGGCTAAGCTCATGTGGTGTAACCACTTTGTTTCTGTAAGATTAGAAAGTTGATAGTTTCGAGTTTCACATTCCTTTTTTTTTTTTTTTTTTTCCTTTTTTTAGTCCGTTGACTATCAAAGTAAAATAAAATCAGGAAAAAATTTTACAGTAAGAAAAAGGGGCCATTATAGTTCCCTTTTGTTCAAGATTGCCGCAGTGTCATTCCTGTCATTAGGATTACATCAAGCAGACTCAGTCAGTGGCTGCCTGCCCAACACTTGAGGAGCTGGATTCGACAGCTTCAGTCCTGCGCTCTGACCGAGCCAGTGTAACTGAGGATTGTGAAACATATTTTGTCCCTTTGTATTGTATATCTCTTTAGTTAGCTCAGAACTTATAATAGGTTCTTTCCTTTCCTTTTTTTTTTTTTTTTTTTGAAAAGAATTCTTCCAATAGAGAGTTTTCTCCTTTTAGTTCATTCACATGTATATTCCATTCAAACTATTGGGGACTCTGGAAACACTGCCTGACTTACGCTGTAGCAGTTACAAGAAATAACATCTGCTATTTCTATCATTTTTTACAAGTATAATGGAAGTGCAATCTTGGGAGCTTACTGCTTCAGATTTAACAGATTTTTGCTTGATGGGAAATACCAGTTTTTTTTATTTTTTTTCATTTTACTATGAACTATTGAAAATTTTGTTACAGGCTAATTAAGGAGTCCCCAGGATAAAGGATAAATACATTCTGACTTATTTTTTTCTTTGTCTTAGAGAATCTACTGTATTACATTGTTACTGAATTCAGAGAATTACTAACAAACTGTTCCATATAACAGGACTTTGCTATAGTTTAATTTGTACTAGGATTTTAGAATTTCATTAAGATTTGAATGGAGCCAATAGTTAGAAACAAATGTACAGGACATAGTTTCAGCCCCATGGTTAAAGGATTGTTCGCTCATTCAAAGTGTGTTGCTTGCTGTAACAGGTTCCGTCAGGCTTGTTTATCCCCAGCATGGCCATTGGAGCAATTGCAGGGAGAATTGTGGGGATCGCCGTGGAACAGCTGGCCTACTATCACCACGACTGGTTCATCTTCAAGGAGTGGTGTGAGGTTGGGGCCGACTGCATCACGCCTGGGCTTTACGCCATGGTTGGCGCTGCTGCTTGCTTAGGTAATATGATCGTGCTTGCTTGTCTGTGGCTGTTTGCCAGTCTGAGAGAGAAGAGAGCAAGTGGTGATATACTCATGTTTATTTGATTGCTAGGGCGAAGAAGTACAAGGTAGAAGGAAGGAATCATTTTAAAAGAAATGAAGCACTAATATTCTTTATTTGAGAACATTTGTTTAATGTAAAAATTTAGTAATAGCTACCATATTTATAATATCACAATGCTTTATGACAGAAACCATCTTGGTATAACATAGGCTGTTGCTGAAAATAAAAGTGATGTTGGGCTATTCATTATTTATTATCTGCCCTGTGATTATCATGATGGTATTATTTAACCCGCTGTCAACAATCAATAAAACACAGACAGCTGTTAGACTTGTAATTGTTTTATTTACTTTGGGCTGGGCAGATATTTTCAACTACACTATCTCAATCACCCCACCGTCCACCTCCCAGCCCGATCCGATGCCGTCCTCTTTAACCATACTCATCTGGGCTATCTTCCATCCATAATCTTATAAATACTTGCTTGTATTCTTCCTGTGGGCCTTTCCACACCGTGGGAGTTCTTCCTCCCAGCCCGTATGGGTTTCTTCTCCGTGCTAACCCCCTGTGGTGTTCTTCCTCCTCTTCCAGTCTATCTGTCTGTTTAAGGTGATTCTCCTGTTCCCAAAGCCTGGGAACCTTAGTCACACCTAACCCATTCTGCTCTGTCCAGGTTTTAGACCCTTTAATCAACCAATCAGGTATAGTGTCTTAGGCAGGTTTCCACAACAAGGGTAGGTTTATTCATGCAGTAACCAGATCTTGAGAGCCAGTAATTAGCAGTAAAACACAAACATCAGACCAAACCAAACAATAGGCTAAATCTGAATCCTGTCCAAGAAGACTGTTGGTTTTTCAGCTGTTAGGGACCTTAGCCTATCTGTAACAATTGACTGCAGCGTTCCTAAATTCAGCATTATAATGAAGTTTCAGAATAGTTTTTCTTTAAACTCTGTAGTAACTTATTATGAGCCTTAATAAAATATTTGTCAGCCTTCTAGGATCTAAGGTACATTCGTAGAAAAGTAAGAAATAGTAACTACTCATTTTAGTGAAATAAAAGCAAAATAATGATACTAAAGATGTAAGAATCTATGTATTGCTTTCTTCTGCTGGAAGTTGTTATTTGGTTTTATATTTAAATTTTCTACCAAATTTTTGGTCTAATACTGAGTAATAGTTGGTACTTTGACTTTGTTTTTGCTCAGTTGCTCAGACTCTTCAGAAGTGTAACACCAAGTGCAATTAAAGTCAGAATCATTTTCACCAAAGTAGCAGGCATTTATTTAGCTTCCACATTCTTTTTAGCATTGTGCAGGTATAGGGAGTGATGAGAGGAGAATCGCACGTGAGCCTGGCTTCTGGGACGATGAGCCCAACACTAAGAAAACAGTAGTGAGCATTGTCTGCAGGCTAACAGTGCAGTTGCAGGAATTTAGAGGGAACACAGTGTTCAAGTAGTCCAGGAAGGGCAGAATACAAGTTGTATTGTTTTTAAATTAAGTTTTTGGTTGAGAAGTGATGCATGTCACTTTCGTACTTGTAAAACTTTGGTAGAGATTTATTTTTGAGCCAGCCCTCTTTAAAGATTGTTAGTTCGCTGTCCTTTTATTTGGTTATGCCTTCCTTCCGCTTGAGTTATGAGCTTACTAATGACAGCTTCAAAACCCACAAATCTTTGAAATCTGATTCTTCAGACAGTTAGCTTTTGGGTCAGTTTTTGATCAGACAGATTTGTCTGGCTATCAATTCATAATATGTTTAAACATGATTGAGTTCAAGCCATTTATTTTTTAAAGCTATATTATGAAGAATCATATAGACTTTTGGGATATGCTAAAACCTAAGATTAAAAAAATTGGGTCTGGGGAGGAGCTTCATTGAACAAGAGCAGTTGGCATGCAAGTATGAGGACCCAAGTTCTAATCCCCAGGGCCCATTCCCAAAGCCAGAACTGCCTGTGCATTTCTGTAACCCCAGAATGGAGGGTGGAGACAGGTGGATCCTAGGAGCTCACTGGTTAAGGAGGCTTTTCATTTCAGTGTGAGACCCTTTTTTAAAGGAATAAGGCAGAGAGCAGTAGAGGAAAACAGCAGATGTCCTCCCCTGGCCCTCCTGTGCACCCACGTGTGCATATGCACTCCCACAGGCATACACCCATACACCCACATGCACGCACCACATGCGAAAGGCACACACTCACCTTTTATGCTTTAGCTGTCTTGAGCTCCTTTTCATAGACCCACAGACTAGTCCTATGAGTAAGTCAGAGCCGTAGAGTCACTCTCTGAAGCTTTTCTGGAGCAATCTGGTTATAGGAAGATTCTAATGCAAAGATAAATTCATATGAAAATATATTTGGAATTCATGCTTTGAAGAAATATAACTTTTGTGTAGTACATTTTGGATATTTTGGGAAACAAGTTGAATTGGTAAGAATTCGATTATAAAAAGATTAGTATCTGAGTTTATATAAGGATGAATTTATATTTGAAGTTGTTCAGATTTGTTGCCAAGTCCTGGGTTTGCCATTTTTCACTTGATGACTTTGGAAAAGTTCCTTTAGTTCTTTGATATTTACTTTCGTCATCTCTAAAAAGGAAATTCTAGCTTGTTGCCTGTGATTGTTTTGAGTGTTATATGAGATAACATGCACAGAATGTTGTTATCATGGTATTTAGTTTAATTTTTTTAAAAAAGCCTTTATAAACCGAGTAGAATATGCTGACACTTGCTGGCATGGAGTAAATATACTATGCATGGCAGATCCTTCCTTTTTTTAGGTTAAGAAACAAATTTAATGAACTGACAAGCACTGTTGGTTTTTTAATTACATTTATTTATTTACTTTGTGGGGTTTCATAGTGTCACACCTGTGGAGATCTGTAGACAATATGAAAATCAGTTCTCTACTTCCCTGTGGGTCTTGGTGGGTGGAGCTCAGGTCATCAGGCTTGGCAGCATGTGCGTTTACTTGCTAAGCCAGTTCACTAGCCAATGTTAGGTCTTTTGACCAAAAGAACAACACAGTGGAAATGATACTTAATGGCTTTGCATGCCTGTCATCACAGTAGAAATGTGAGGATTGCCAGTTTGAGGCCAGCCTGGGCTACACAGTAAGACCTTGTCTCTAAAAACAAAAAGGAGCACTTATAATGTAGGTTGAAAGTAATGGGGTCTAAGAGTCAAGGAGGTAAGATAAAGTGGTATGAAAACGAGAGCATAGGACTAGAGAGATAGATGGCCTATCACTTAAGAGCACTGCTGCTCTACCAGAGGGCCTGAGTTTGACTCCCAAACCTCACGTGATGGCTCATAACTGTAATGCCAGTTCCTGGGTATTAGACATCTTCTCTGGCCCTCATGAGTACCACGTATGCACGTGGCACACAGATATAACATTCAGGCAAACCATTTTATATATAATAAAATACATTTGTAAATAAATTCAGAAAAAGAGCCTGCTTTTTTTTTTTTTTTTTTTTTTTTTTTTTTTAATGAAAGAATAGTTTGGGTCCTTGACTAGTTTTTCAACAGTCAGAATCCTGAAAAAGGACACATAAGTAGGTATTTTACAGAAGAATTCCAATCTGTAGAGGTAACAGTTGAGATATTGGAATAAAATTAAGGTTCCAAAAGTAATCACCTAGATTATGAGGGAGAATGTGTGCAGGAATATAGGACCAGGGAAGTTGAAATGACCCTTCCTAGGTGAAGAAGAGAGATTTGGATTTTACATATGGTTTGCTTTCTTTGATAGCAACTTAAAGTCTTTATAGATGATGAAAACAGTGCTAAGCTGTGGTGTGCATAACAGAAACACAAAAACACCAGTAAGTGAAAAAGAGAGCAGGGCGATGTGGTGATAGAGATCACAGCTGAGGATGACTGTCTGATTAAATGACTAGGTGAGTTTCTGTCCCTTTCTCCTTCATTCCTCCTTGTTGGGATGCTGGGATCAAGCCCACATCCTTGTACATGCTCCGTAAACACCCTACCACTATGTATATACCACTACCCAAACCCAAAATAGATGAATGTCCTACCTGACAGTATCACATTGTTAATAAATCACAAGGCTTCAAAATATTTTACACACTTTGAAAAGACATTATATTATTTAATATCCTACCTATAAACATATATTTATTTAATTGGTAGCAAGCAAGAAAGCTATGATGTACTTATTTATATTTAAGGAGTTATAGTAAACTTTCATAAACTTTGGCTGCAGCAGTAAATTAAAATGGTGAGGTTGTTTTGCTTGCTCAGCTGTGGGTTTTGTTTGCTTGATTTTTAGTGTTACAAAAGGTTCACAAATGTTATAGTCGTCTTCTGTGATATAGCCAGATTGGCTTTCCTCTAGATTATATTAGAAGTGATGGTTACTGTCCTAAGAGTAGTCATTTTTGGTGACAGTGCTTTTCACTGATCAAGATCTGTCTACATTTTGTGTTCACCTGTGTGGTGCAAGACTTGAGTAACATGTGAGTTATTCTCTCTTCCCTGATCAGTGCTGTTTATTTCTTTCAGGTGGTGTGACAAGAATGACTGTCTCCTTGGTGGTTATTGTTTTTGAACTTACTGGGGGCTTGGAATATATTGTTCCTCTTATGGCTGCAGTAATGACCAGTAAATGGGTTGGTGATGCCTTTGGTAGGGAGGGTATTTATGAAGCACATATCCGACTAAATGGGTACCCTTTCTTGGATGCAAAAGAAGAATTCACTCATACAACCCTGGCTGCTGATGTCATGAGACCTCGAAGAAGTGATCCTCCCTTAGCTGTTTTGACACAGGACAATATGACAGTAGATGACATAGAAAACATGATTAATGAAACCAGCTATAATGGCTTTCCTGTTATAATGTCAAAAGAATCTCAGAGATTAGTGGGATTTGCCCTCCGAAGAGACCTGACAATTGCAATAGGTATGTTTTTTAAAAACACCATTATGAATGTATATGCCTTGGTGTAATACATTTATAGGAGGAGAAAAAGCAATGAAATTTAATCGGTTGCATTTTCAGGGGCAAGTGATATTAATTTATATACTTTAAAGTCTTGTATTCTCTAGGAAAGGAATGTGTTTTTCAGTGATTATTTTTCTGCTGTGATGGGAAAGCCAGGAAGAATTTTAATCTTGGTCAGCAACTCTAAATCCTTTCCTTTGTGATGCCAAAGGTGAGAAAAGAGACTCACTAAGTCATTGATTTGCTACTCCCTAGGTTTTTGGACAGTACCTTGAGCTAGAAATGTCAAGTATTTGCTCTGTCTGCAAAGGTAATTCCCAGGTGTCATTATCCTTCCTGTTCTCAAGGGATTGCTAGCCCAAGAAAATAAAGTTAAAGGGAAATGGCCAGGTTCTAAAGTCAGGACATTCCAAAGTCATTTTCAGTAATTCATATTCCTGCCTACAGTGGATACTGTTTTGAATTTTACTCACTTGACAGAGATACTGGTGCATAGGAAATAGTGTTAGTTTAAGGGAATATGAAATATGAAGATGTGGCAATGAAAATCACAGGATGACTTTTGAAAACACCTATGTGTTACTACATTGTATATTATGTATACATAATTATATTATGGAAGAACAGATTTGTTCATGGTCAACAAAATACCATATATGAAATACCAAATTTGATGTGTTATTCTTCTTAATTGGGAATTAATTACAGAATAAGTTTTTAGAATACTAAATCTAAATGAGAGGTCTCAGGTTATTTAAGATCATGAAAGTGAAAGTGTTGAAATTAAAACTCTTTTTAAAAATCTTCTTGGTGGTGTTGGAAAGTGAAATGTGGCCTGGCACACACTGGCAATACCTGTTACTTTGGAGTGGAAGCAAGCAGGATTGCGTGTTTGAGGCTGCTGGGCCACATAGCAAGACCCTAACCCTAAAAAATAAAAGAAGAAAGGAAATGAAATACAAGCTGTTTTCTGTTTCAAAGGCCTGTGAATGAATGACATGAAAATCATTTTAAAAATAAAACAACTTAGCAGATATCATGGCACATTGTATAATAAATGGTACTCCTTAAAATAATTACTACATATACAAGTCATATTATCTTAAGCACTCTTCTTTTAACTGACAAATAGAAACTAATGTTAATGTCATGTTTTGATAAATGCAGGTATAGCATGCTGTTAGGTGAAGCTGGTTGATATCTGTTACCACAAATGCTTACGTTATAGAGGGAACTAAAAATCTCTTAAGTTTTAAATACAAATATAAAAATTAAAGTGGTAATTCTTTATGGCGTGAGAAAGTTTTTTTTTTTTTTTTTAGCCCAGGCTGGCCTCAAAAATCTTTACGTACATGAGGATGATAATTTTAATTCTTAATCGTCCTTCTACCTTCACAGTGAAAAATGCCACGTCTTGGTGACACATTTAAGGCAAAGAGGCTAGATTTTCACTTCTGATACTTTGTATCACAGAGTAACATTCCAAAAATAACAACAACAAAAACCAAACCAAACAAAAACCAAACCCACTATTTTTTCTAGAATTAAGAATATTAGGCTGGGGATTCAGCTCAGCTGGTGTGCAGCACCAGGCTCTGGGTTTGCGCCTCAGCACTCCAATGCATAAAAGCAAAACAAAATCCAATTGGTTCCCTAGTAAGGGGAACAGGTACTATCTCTGACATGAACTCAGTGGCTGGCTCTTTATCACCTCCCTTGAGTGGGGAGCAGCCTTACCAGGCCACAGAGGACAACAGTGCAGCCAGTCCTGATGAGACCTAATAAGCTAGGGTCAGATGGAAGGGAAGGAGGACCTCCCCTATTAGTGGATTTGGAGCAGGGCATGGGAGATGAGGGAGGGAGGGTGAGATTGGGAGGGAACATGGGAGGGGTCTACAGCTGGGATACAAAGTGAATAATCTGTAGTTAATATAAAAAAATAAAAAATAAATTGAAAACAAAACAAAACTATTAAGTTGTAAATGTGTTGGCTAAATGCATTAACGGTAACATCAGAGGCGCCAGAATGAGTTGGTGTCTCGTTAAGGAGTGAAATCATAGACTTGCTCTTGGATTAATTTGACAAAGAGCGAGGTCAAGGTTGAATTCTCTACTTCTCCCTGGGTCTTCCATCTGTCTGTAGCTTATGGTTTTCGACCTATATTTCATCTGTATGTAAGTGTGTGTGTGCGTGCCTATTCTTTGTGTCCGACTGCCCCTCTAGCTGTGTGTTGCTGTAGATCTGTTGTTAGATCTCTCACCGTGCTTATTGAACAGGGTAGAAAACATGGCATGGGAAAGGGTTGAGGGATACTGTATAGAAACCCCTGAGAGAGGTTTACAAGGGATTAACTACTTACTTCAGGTGACCTAAAAGCCCTCAGAAAAGTAGGCGTAGCTGCAAATGTACTGTTATCAAGTAATAGCTGTTCCCAGCACTTGTGGCAGACATTTGCATGTATAAAGTCACTTGAAAGGCTTGCTGCTTTTAGCAAATTAATACCACAACACACACGTGCAGGCATTCCTTGCTCTGGGTCAGAGACGTGGAAGAGGAGTACATAGTTTAAGATTAAAGCTGTGCATTACCTTAGGTTGTAAAAGTTGCTACATGGTGAACCCAAGGCAAGTAAGCTTGTCTGTTATACTGTTCTCTTAAAGGCAGGTTAAACAGATTGCATGCACAAGTCTTAAATGACCTCAAGGTCGCTTAACTCAAAAGTTCAAGTCACTTTGAATACATATGAACATTTTCATAAAATGGATTACCACAGCTAAATGTTTGAGTATTTAGGGTTATTTTCATTTGTGATGTATTTCTTATTGTTTGGATATTTAATATTTTGACTAGTTGATCCCACATTGTTAATATTTTTTCTATTGGTAGATTATTAAAACTACAGGGTTTTTTTTAACATTTTTACTTTTTTTATACTGAAAATTTAAATGAAATAACACCCCTATTACAGTATTAGAGTATGCTAAATTTGATTGTCTTCTCCTGCTAATTTAATTGGATGTAAAAACTCTGCACGTTGACTCTTCATACTCTTTTGCTGTTATTGATGTGACCCTTCCATCATTTTATTCTGTATATTCATTGTAGACATATACTGTTACTCTTTACACTGTACATTCGTCACGCACATGCTATTAGTTATATTCTATGTGCTGAAAGCAACTTTGTATTTTTCCAGCACTATTTATTTTGCTCACTAGTGGGTGTCTTTTTCACACCATGACCATACTTTCAGGTGGCCCATGCACTAGCCACTAGGACCTCACTTTGTGCTCTGGTACTTAAATGTTTAGAACGTAGCTGAATACGGTTTTAGTGTTCAGAAGGAGTAAAAAGTACGACAACATTCATTTATAAACAGTAATATCCCCTTTTCTTCAGTCAGGTTGTTGTTTACTATTTTGTCTTAAATATGTTTGTATCAAAATTCATACTCAAAATATTTTCACCATAACTAATACTGTATTTATACACACATAGTTTCATTAATGTTTACTCAAAAACCAAGCACAGCGCTTTATTGCATATTCTGTCCGTATTAAGGGTTTCCATTTTCCTTTGTGTGATCTCTTGTTTCCATCCTTGTACTTTCTGTCTCACAGTCTCAAAGGTAGGAGAAGAAACAGGCAGCACATTAGAGGCGTGGAGAAATTGATAGACCGTTTATAGAATAAACAGCCTAAAAGTCTTATTCACTGGGTGTATAATTGTAGTTTCAACCCATGTGTAGTGCTCTTTACTCATCAAAATCAGAAGAGTGGAAGGAAGAGCCAGCTGGTTCACAGTGCTGGAGTCCATGCAGAGACAGAGCAAGGCTGGAAGTCTTCAGTCTCATCTCCAGTGTAGAGTAGGTCACATTCATCATAGGTGGGCTGCAGTTAACCACAGATCCCATAGTAAACTGCTCCTGTACTATGTACAGGTTTAAATTTTTCCTATTTCAAACGTGCTTTCTTGTCTCTGCAGTTAGAAAATAGTTCAGCACCATTAAAGGAAATCGGTTAATGATAAGCATTTACTGATTTTTCCTCTCTGACTGAAATAGAAAGGCAGCAGGAAAAAAGACAGGAAAAAAGAAAGGCAGCAGAAGTCATAAGTGAAGTTGTATGTAAGAAAAGAAAGCCCAACAATTGAAAATGTTTGCTCTTTTCTATCTCTATTTCAGAAAGTGCCAGAAAAAAACAAGAAGGTATTGTTGGCAGTTCTCGGGTATGTTTTGCACAGCATACGCCGTCTCTTCCAGCAGAAAGTCCTCGGCCATTAAAACTGAGAAGCATTCTTGATATGAGTCCTTTTACAGTAACAGATCACACCCCAATGGAGATTGTGGTAGATATCTTCCGAAAGCTGGGTCTGAGGCAGTGCCTTGTAACTCACAATGGGTAAGTGTAGCACCGCAGAGATCAGTTCACTCACTAGAATGAATGGTCTATTAATGGAATGTTTTCAGGGCACAGTGCGAGTCAGCTCTATTTGGGAGCTGACTTAGTATGGTTATAAATGCAGGATTAATCAATCTTCACTCTTGCCTGAGAGTAAGAAGGGTGTCAGCTCTGTGCTTATTGTCAAGGATACTGTATTTGAGAGTTGGAGAAGAAATGGAGAAATATCTCCATGTAAAGAGCTTTTTTAGCTTGAGTTGTATCTTTCCTGGGAAATACTGGCCTTAGCCTTTAGGGAGCATTGCAAAAACCATTTTCTTTTTGTGTTTCATTTCTTTTGTGTAGGTTTTTTTGTACATCTCTCTCTGTAGATATTTTGATATATGCTATTAGAGCCAGTGTTTAATCTTTTTTTTTTCTTTCCTTTTTTCTTAATTGTTTGTTTGTTTTGGTCTACCTTCTCCAAAACAAGTTGGACCTTTAAACTGAACTGCTAAATTACTTAAAAGCATTCATGTACTTAGCGCCTGTTATTTCCACTATATTATTTTTTCTTAGTGGAATTTAAAATTTTTTATTTAGATATTTTTGTTTAGATATTACTGACACAGAGCCTCACTGGAGTTGGAGCTAACCTTGGGTCTGTGACCCTTGTGAACCTCATGAGCACTGAGATTACAGCCTTCTTGCTGGTAACTTGTTGGAATTCATAGAACATTGTTCCATGTTAAGTATATAATAGAAATGCTAGGAAAGGGAAACAGATGGATTTTTGGGTTTGTTATAAACCGATGGCTCACTCGGAATAGACTGAAGGTGATTAAATACTGCACCAAACATAAGAGAATCACAACAAATTTTGTCCTTTTAAGATTTTCTTAAAAAACATGTGGGTAGCAGAACACCTGATCTCTCTAGAAAAGGGGGACATTTAAAAAAAAAGATATTTTTACTAAACACTTTCACACTTTCTCACATAACTCTGTAGCCCTGCAAATAGGTGCTCTTTTTGACAGGTATAATAATTTGTTCAAATTAGCTCTGTAGATCACAGAAATCCTGAACCCTGCTACTATTCTACAATGTATATTCTGACAGAATATACTTTCTTCATGATTTGTTAAGCCCTTAAAACACTTTCTGGGCCTCTACTGTAGACCATTACTGGGTTAGTAACAGGAATATCATAGACATTTATACTTCTGTTTAAAACAGAACAAAGCAGAAAGTAGGAACATTAGAGCTGTGTTGGGTGTTTCGCTTCTGGAGTATAACATGAATAAATCAAAGATGTGTTTCATAAAGCACTATGGTCTACTGTTTCATTTTGTTTGCTCTTGTCTACTATTAAAAATGGTACCAAATTTCATTGTTTAAAACTTAATAAATATTAGTTACATGATGTGTCTTTTTGTAAAGCTTTGCTTTGATCCCTTTGAATCATTCTGTGGCTCAGTTGGAACCTAAAGTGAACTTTCATTAGCTATTGTTGGCTTTGAGTTCTTTGTGCCTGTCTTAGGTTCTCTTCTGTACTGACTAATACCAACTCTGTTCTGGAAGTGGTGATTAACTGTGACCATAAAGCCCTACTCTATAGGGTAATTTTCGTATTTTTCGCAGTATAGATCCTAGAAAGGAAAATACTTTTCCTTTTTAAAAAGAGTATTTTAAAATACTTTTAATTTAAGGATTAAATTATTGTTTAGGGGGACAAGAGTTAGGTATATACAATAAGTGCATTCAGAAAGAAAAAAGATGATCATTTGGGGAGGAGAGTCTTGACTTTATTGTCTGTGAACTACTTAAGCAGGAGGGTTCAGTGGCTAACACTGAAAGAAGACAGTGTGTTTTAAAAACCATGAAGTTCTAGGTAGCTCTGTGTTTTCCAGCTTCATGTAATACCTTAGCAATGGAAAATAGTTATGTGCAGCAATAAAAATGCAGCAGATCTGGAACCATAGGTGCAAGAGTAAAAGAGAATAGAGCAGTAATGGGAACAGATTCAAATTGTGGACATGTCAGGTCAGTGTTGTTCCACATTTTGTAACAGAACTTCTCAGAATCCGTTAGTTTAAAGAACAAACAGGATGGTAATAGAAGTTGCTGGAAATTTATGTGACTGAATAAGTTTAAGATTATTGAAGTATTACATTAAATTATAACTGAGGTTTCCTTTGGAACTTGGAAGATGTTGATGTCTTTTGATTCCCCATCTGTCAGTAATGGAGTCATTGCTTACCTGGCTGGCCTGAAAATGCAGACATTCTCTGGTGGGGAGAGAGGATGCACACTTGGGATTGCTGTTTCTAACAAACATGCTTTGGGAAATGCCAGTTTTTGCTCTGTTAACTTCCACAGCATTATTTGTTAGCCCAAAAGGAAACTTCAGATTATTCTTAAATAAGAAACAGTTAGCATTGATTTACTGTTTACTCTTTAAAACTAAAAGAGCAACACTGAAACTGACTTCATGTTCTGGAGCCAGTCTTCTTTGTTAAATAGAGGAGCTTGTGTAACTGGTTTTACCCCTGCCAAATGTTTGCGCTCTGTGCATCTGCAGGTGTATGTTAATGTCCTAAGTTTGCTGCTTGCTTCTTGCACATGTGTCACTCTCCTCGTTTTGTCACGCAGTGACTAAACTTAACAAATGATAAACAGAAAATAATCATTCTACTTAATTGGATAAAAAAGCATGCACAAGAATCAACCTGCTGTTATTGTATTTAATTAAGTGCTAAGAATTTCCCATTACCTAATTTACCTAAGTTATAGCTTTTGAAAAAAAAAAGCTTGTTTTTATTAGCATATATTAATTGTACAGAATCATGGATTTTATTAATGTACATGTGTACTATGTACTTTGAACATATTCACCACCACCCCAAAGCTAAAAACAAACAAATAATAAACAAACAAACAAAACCTCAGATATTTTCAAGAACATTTCTCTAATGGTCAAATGCTCGTTTTATACAATAAAGTTTTTTTTTAACTTCTTGGAGAGGTTGCTCACATGCTCTAAAACGTCACTACATTGTTTTAACACAATGACGTGAATACCCTTCCTGCTCTTCAAGCCCCTGCCATTACTGTTTTATGAGTGAAATATTTCCGAATATTTCCAGACTGCTTTGAAATCCCATGGTGACTGACTTTACAGAATTTTGGTAGGGTGTGCTGGGATATGCCTTTAATCCTACCACTTAGAGAGGCAGAAGCCACTCAGAGTTTGAAGCCAGTCTGGTCTACAGAGTGTGTCCCAGGGCAGCCAGAGCTACACAAAGAAACCTTCTCTTCAAAAACAAATCTCCAAGGCAGCTTAACAGGAAAGATGACTTAAGCAGACAGATCAGCAAGGAAATGCCTGATTATTTTGAAGGCTTTTTAGATGGGCTTCTAGAATTTACATCACCACATACTGTAGTCAAATTCATTTATTTGTTGTAAAATAAGTATCCAGATATTTAATAACTAAAAGTAGTCTAGCTTCAGGTATCCTCATGGGAATTTATATAAATCATTTTGTAAGATCTGATAGTAATGACATATAAACTGAGAAAAATTGCTTACAAAAGTATGCATTAAAAGTCATTTTGACCTCTACTCATGAATATTTTATTACCATATTATAAAGAAATGGGATTCAGTTCCTGAAAATGAGGTCAGGAGTATTTACATGTGTATTACTTTAATTGGAATTGCAAATAAATAGTAAAAAATCTAGATTTCTTAAGTCTTCCCATGGGCATTCAAACTAAGCCTCTCTTCCCCAACACACACACAGTGCTGAGGAAGAGCTAAATAGCTCCTAGGTTGTTATAATAGAAACTGAAAGTGCGTTCATCTACAGAGAAAACACTGAAAACCATTCTCCCAATTTTAGAGGTCTGTAGCTCTGTATCACTGAGTTTCTTTTGTACTTTTAGTTTTATTCATCTTCATAGTTAAAATTTTAGTCAAATTTTCATTATTTTGATTTTTAATTAAAAAAATAAACTCCATTAGAAATAGTATGTATCACTTTTGAAGTTAGTAGAATGTCTGAAAATGGAACCTAGATTTTTAAAATCATTTTTGTCTCAAGTCCATGAGAAGCATTCTTATGGTTTATGTTTAGTTTATTTCCTCTCCTTCGTTATCATTATGACTGGAACCTCTTTGAGTTTAATTTCTCACAGTTATTAGCATAATAATCTGTTTCAGGGTTGTCTTGGGGATCATCACAAAGAAGAACATTTTAGAGCATCTCGAGCAACTAAAGCAGCACGTGGAACCCTTGGTGATTAGCTGTGTCAGCTCTCCTCACTAGACACCCTAGAAGTCAGGAGGCATGAAACTTGTGAACTGTCAGTTCTCCCCCCATACCTGCTGAGCAAAAACAATCCCACCCTGCTGCAGCTACAGTGTCTGACCAGATGTCTGTGAGACAAATTTAGATATACTGTCTAAATTCTTATTCTTAGGAAGTAAGCGGCAGTTAACGTCTCATCAGAATGAGTTACAATTCAGAACTGCACAGTCTGGTGCTTGAATGAGGAATCATTATTGGTCTTGTTAGACTGGAAAGTCTATCTACTGTAGTGGATTCACTGGTCTCAGAAGACTCCTGACTGGTTAAACACGCCTGCCCTGTCACACCCAACCCTTCACCCTTTTTTATGCTTCCTGATCTGTGGGAGTGTTGTAGACCTTAGCTCCTTTGTGGCTTTACGTGAGCTTAGCAGTAGAGTTGCTCTGACCATACAATGTTTTAATGGGCACATCAGCTAGAACACAGTGTGTGTAGATCTGTGATCAGAGCACTAGTTCTTTCTCTGCTGCCCCTTACATACTTTCAGAGTTAGAATGTGTATCCGTCCATTTGTTAGTAGATTATATATAGGTCATGTCTGTGCCCCTTTTGTATGATGTTACTAGACTGTCATAAGTAGCTTTTGTGTTAACAGGCTTTATGTCTTAGTGGTGTCATTGATTCCAGATAAATTCTGATTTATGCATAACAAATTGTCTGGCTTTAACAATTAATACCTCAAATTATTTTGCCCTGCAATTGTCATAACTATATGAAACCTGTCCCCATTTGTTTAAGTACACAATTGAGTGTGTGTTCCTATTGTATGCTAATATTTCACAAGTGTTTCATGCATCCTTTTTTTAAAACTACTAACCACAATATAGAAACCATTCATTTTGCTTTCTGCTTCACCTGTAATAATCTTTTAGGATTGCTTCTTGATTACTCACTTAATTTTCAATGTAAACATTAACATCCAAGCACTGCATCTTCTTTTGGGGAAGCAAAAAAAATTAAAAGGCAAAAAACCTTAAGTGTGCTTTCAAAACCCTGGGTTGTGCTGTAGGTTTATCCTTGCCTTCTCAAGTTTGGGAGGCAAATATCTGTGCTGACCATTGTTTGCATATTTTATCTCAGTTGTATGTGCTTTTATGAATTTTTCGCATACAACTGGGTAATCAAAAAGTATCCCTTAAAAATTTTGGTTCTTCAAAATATTGAGTTTTTAAATTATTTTCTAATAAAATGGGAATGGGTTCCTTTTTCAAACTGGATCAGTATTATTTCCTGTTCATACATCGCCCCAGTTTTTTGTTACCTTTTTATTGGCATACTTGAATCAAAATAGCTCTGCCTCAGTGAGGCACACAGTAGTCCTCAGTCCCAGCGGGAAGGCCCTTATACTCTGAGTGACCACAGTACTCTTTATGTAGGAAGACTGTTGCTGGGTAATTTCATTGTCTTTATAGTAAAACACTTTTAAAAATGCATAATCAGGCTGCTTGCTCTGCTCTCTATTTCTGTCAACAAAAAGGATTTATCTATAGATTTAGTTCCTCTTTTCTTTTCCCTTTTATTTTAATAGCTCTTTTTTGTTCATCCTTTTCAGGCGCCTCCTTGGCATTATAACAAAAAAAGATATCCTCCGTCATATGGCCCAGACGGCAAACCAAGACCCCGCTTCAATAATGTTCAACTGAACCCTGAAGATGAGGAGAGAGAGGAGACAGAAGAGGAAATGCATTTGTTGAATAGCACAATTCTTTAATTTGAGGGACTCGTCTGCTTTTTTCTTCTTTTAAAAAACAGGAAAGGAAATACAAGCCGAGAGCTTTTGCAACCAGGTTTGCAAATAATGCTGGGAGAACAAAGGGATTGTTTGGGGAGGGAGAAGGAAAAGGACTGAGGTATTTCCCTAACTGACTGGAGCAGTAATTCATCTCATGTTGTTCTGCACTGGTTGCATTCACTGAGGCTATGCAGTGGGAGTACAGGCTTGAGCCTCCATGGAGCCTTCACTGGAATCCTCAAGCACCCGGCTGTCACTTCAGCACCACAGAGACGTATTACCAGTCCCTATTTCTGGAGGGATTACTTTGAATTGAGCCATCTATTAAGACTGCAAGGTCTTGCCCTTTTATATCAGAATTGTTCTGTTTAACTCATGAATTGTATAGTTAAGCATCACCTTTCTACATTCCAAAAGAGCTTCTCCTCTCCCCTCTCTTAAGCTGTAACAAAACCTCTTTGAATTGGTGTGTCCTTTTGAAGCAGTCCTTTCTCATATTGAGATGTATTGTGATTTTACTGAGGTTTCATCACAAGAAGGGATGTTTCTTGTGCCATTAACCATGTCGTTTGTACCATCACTAAAGGCTTGGAAGCGTGCACACACACACACACCACTGCTGGCCAAGCAGGTCAGATCTGGAGGTGTAAATGACATCCCCTAGCTTGTGTGCTGTGTGTTTCAGAATCAAAAACAAATGTGATTCTAATCAGTTTTATTTTTTTCCTCTCAGACTTTATGGATAATGTGATCTAGTCTTATGCAAATTTTCTATTTCTAAAGTTACTACTATGACATAAAAGTGCTGTTCAGCATAATTAAACCAAATGCTGCTGCTGTGATGGAGGGAAGGAAGGATTCTGTTTAGCTGTACCTGGTATTGATTGCATGTTAAACACTGGAGCTTTTTTCTTCAAATTAGATCATTCTTTTATTTCAGGATGTTCCACTGCTGACACTGGAGATGAAATGTAATTCATAACTTGCACTAAATGTATATTTCTTTTCTTAAAAATTTACCATTCTTATTTATATTTTTATGGATTAAAATTTATAAAATACAGATCAGTTAATATTGCACTTAAATAATTTTACCTTTTTAATGTGATTTCTTTTATACAGACTAATTCTGACTTACAAATATGGAGGTATGAACAACGTTTACATTAGGCACAAGGATTTAAGCAGAGGTGATCACTTCTGTGATACAGAGTGCACATAATACCTTCTGATTTCTCACTGCCATCTCCTGGGTTATGTCCTTTGACCTGTCCATTCTGACCCACAAACTGGAAAGTTGAAAATAACCTAAACTATTACTAGTAGATTAAAGCCAAACCTTTTTTTTTTTTTTTTTTTTTTTTAGAAAAATCAAACAAAATGAAAACTATAAAATCACAATGTGAGTATAACCTTTGAATCACAGGGTAGGTCCCAGCCATACCTGAAGTGTTCACTGATGATTTAAATAGCTATAATGCACATTTCTGCAGGATTAGTTATAAGAGGTACCTCTCAGTACTTGGAATTGTTACTGGAAATGTCTGCTTTAATCATGGTCTTAATTCACGACTGGCAAAGGCAGTTTGCTCACCAGACTGGCCCAGATACTCCGAGTATGAAATTTTGGAAGGCAAATGCATCCATACAAACATTTTCTGAAACAACTGGTAATGAGCCGTTTTTAATATATAATGAGATCACATTAGATCTGTATGATCTTGAAGACTCAAACAACCAGGAAGCCATATTAGAATGATCCAGAATTCATCATCATTTTAGAATTACTCAGCTGTGCTGTCTGCCACCAATATTTTTTCTTTTACTTCTGCTGGCAGATTTTAAGATTTTTCATAACCCCTTCATTGTTTGGCTAAACTGAGTGAACTCATTTTTAATGATAGTTGTGTAACTTATATTTGCAGTGTGCAAGGCACTGCTGGTACAAACTCTTCAGCATGGCCAAAAGGTTTGACTCAGCCCCTTCTGGGTTCCAAGTCTTCAAAGGAGAAGCCAGTTTCTTTGCAACTTTACACAAAAACTGCACATGGTTTTATTTTCTACATTTGCTTTCAGACTCTGCTTTCAGACCCTTGCTTCAGAGACCGACATTTCAGGATACATATTAAAGCATTCATTTTCTTTGTTACATTTCTCTTTCTGATGTGTCTTACTGCTGAAATATAAGAGAAGTGCCGTGTTTTTAATGTGCTCAGAGCTTTGGGTCTTTTTTTTCTTGAGTGTTAACATATGTTCTGTTTTTCTTTTTTCATTAAGGTGTGGTTGCTTTCCAACCACATAAGATAGTGAATGCCGTGAACTACACGTGCCTAGCTAATTGGCAAACTTACTGACCAATATACTTAGTGCAGCGCCTTATTTGAGTACCCTTTTTGAGACGGTATGATGAAAATGGGCAAACGTGTCAGCATCTCTTATTAATAATTGTTTTTACTTTTGGTTTTTGAAGAATGCTTAGTTTGTTAATCTGTGCTGTTGCTTAGAGCTGTATTTATCTGTTTTTATTTATACTAGTGTAGTAAAGCTGCATATCATTACAGTATAACTTATTACTGTGATGAGTTAATGAGAAGATCTATTAAAATCTCTACTTCAATGTGTGGTTTGGCCTTTAATTACATCTGTACCCTCCCTCTGCACAGCTGCACTGTGCAGTCAGTGTAGGCCAGTGTGACTGGCCCACGCAGCCTTCGGAGGATAGTGTTTGAAGAGCTTCTGTTGGGTCACAGCTGTTCCTCTTTTGGGTGTTGTGAGCAAGGAGCCGGAAGAAAGGAGGACATGCTCACTTAAGAAAGCATGTACATTGTACGAGCAACAGGCTAGGGCCGCCAAGTATCAAAACGAAAGATTCCAGTTTAGTTTAAACATGTTTGTCTTTTAGAAGAACAATGATACTGTCTTCATGAAGAGCAAAAGCAATCACAGTAGAAATACACTAACAGATCTGCTTTAAAACCGTGGTAAGAAATACTTGAATGAGAGTTCAGACTTCTAATAAGCATTTAGTTAAGAGGAAAACACCACAGGGCCAGGATGAATCTTCTATTCTGTATTTTTCACTTGTCCATTGAACTCAACTGTGGTGCTCTGAAAATGGTAGTGTTCTAGGGATGGTGAAGATGAACAGGATTTGCTAGTGTATCCCTGAGTGTATGAGTGTGAGCTCAAGGATGAGCATCCCTAAGGTTTTCAGTGTGATGAGAGAATGACATGAGCTGGAAAGGACCGCAGGAAGACGAGATCAGTATCACCTCCTATTAGGGTTTAGACATTACGGTGAATTTTTTTTGTGTATATGTAAATGGAGGCATGTACATACTATATGGAGGTCAGAAGACAATCCTTTGTGATCAGTTCTACCACTGTGTGGAGTCCAGGGATCCAATTAAGGCCATAAGGCTTACTTCAACCCACTGAGCAATCGTGCCCGATTTTAAGATTAAAAAAAAAAAAAAAAACAAACACTTTATTTTTATTTAAGCTGTGGTTATGTTCAAGTACCCAAAAAGGCCAGGTATCAGATCCTCTGGAGCTGGAGTTTCAGGTAGCTGTGATGTACCTAATGTAGGTGTTGAGAATGTGGCTCCTCTGTTAGGAGCAATGCATGCTCTTAACCACTGAGCTATCTCTCCAGCCCCTTATTGTGCATGTGTGTGTGTGTGTCTGTGTGTCTGTGTGCACACGCACGCATGCATGCAAGTGCCTTTGGAACTCAAGTTATAGGTAATTGTGAGCCACTCGATGTGGGTGGTGAGAACTGAACTCCAGTTCTCTGGAATAGCTGCAAGTCCTCTTAACTGCTGAGTGCTTTCTCTGTCTCTCTTCCTCTCTCCTTCCCTGTTTCTACCTCTTCTCTCTCCTCTCCAGCCAAGAACTAAGTTTTAATACCTTTTAGGATTTCAAGTAGGATATGCGATTCAAGTTAGAAGTCTGCCTTGAGTTAAAGGGAAAGTATATTCCAGAAAGAGGATGAAATTACATGGATTTAAGTTTGGACAGAGAAGAGGCAGTCAATGGTGGAATGAGACAGCAAAAGAGAACTGCTAATGAGATTAAGACAGGGTGATCTAACCCAAATGAAAGAATTTCAAGGAGCCCTCAGCAGCTAGATATTTACCGATGGGTGAAACTTCTTCGGCTGAAAGTTGGCCACTGTGAGCATACCTACTTGAGTGTTTGATGGAATGGTGGCATGCCATAGTGGAAGTGGAATGGGTCTTTTAGGCAGGAGAGAGCTGTGATTCTCCTGTGAGGATTTCAGAAAAGGAGTCACAGATGATTTTAAGATGCAGGTGATGGCAATGTTTGAGATCAGATTTTCAGGTGTAGGGTGGTTTTATGAAGAAAATCCCAATTGTTGGGATTTTACAAATGAACACTCAGGAGCCAGGTGCTGGTGTGAAAACCAGCTAGCCCACAGGGGCAGAGAAGGCACCCAGCTGACCTTCCTATTCAGCCTAAATTCCTTCTTATTCTCCCCCGTCTTAAATACCCTTCAACTCAGTGTCCTTCCCCTGTTTTCTTATGTCAACTGGCTGTTTGCTCTGCCTCCTGACCTAGCGTTAACTTTATTTAGCTCTTGTTTACAGAAAGCTTTTGGGTTAAAGTTGTGTTCTAGGGCTGAGCCACACCACAGCTACTTATTCACAATAACCAGAAAGCCTTTAACCCAAGCTCCTTGTCTGTGTGTGTTAGGGCTGAGCCACATCACAAGAAACAGGTTTTTCCGGTTCACAATCTCAGGGTTTACAATGGGATCAAATATCCTGCAACAGTAGGGTATTATGGTTTATGCTAATTGTGGGATGAGAAGGAAATGGATTGCTCCAAGAGGCGGAGCCTTGTATAGGATGGATCTTGAACACTAAGGGAGACATAAAATGTAAATGCAAAATATACTTTCTATACAGTATACTGTGCTGTTAAGTCTGTCAAGTTCTGACATATTTGTTGCCACTTCTGTAACATAATCTGAGAATGAAGCTGTTGGAGCTTGAGCACAGATGAGAAAGAACTAGGACCCACTGACATCCAAAGTAGCCATCTGAAGTTAACCTCAGTGTGACACGGTAGCTCCCCCCCCCCCCAACCCCCAGCTACTTGGTTCTTAGTAGAGTTTCTGTAAAGCATAGTTTATTTGGTTTAGGATACTAACATAAATACAACACAGAATTGAGGATGGCTGCACGGTGAGAACCTTGAACCTAAAGTCAGGTTGAAAAATTGGGGTTCCAGAGGGAGGAAGATGGAACGTTGGGGGTAGTATTTAGGTAATAAGAATGCTTGGAACCTTGATGAGGTTTCATTTTCAGTACTGACCAGCTCCAAGTTTGTCAAACCCTAGGCTAGAAGAGTAAAGGGAACCAAGGTCTGTGCCTTGAACCAATGAGAGAATTATGCTGACACGGGGACTGTGCTGTTAATACAGTAAGGTCAATTTGGGGCTGATGAGTAGACTTTAGGTCATTATAAAATATCTTTCATAGTGGTGCATTTCCTTGGACACAGGCAACATAAATGCTTGGGAGGCTAACAGAAATTCCATCAATGGGCCCCAAGAAGTAAAAAAAAAAAAAAAAAAATGAATTTAAGTTCAGTAACAATCCTGATTGGGTCATGGTGATTCATGAATGTGCTTAGGCACTTAAAATGTGTTCCAGTTGGATGATTGATAGATAAATATACATACTACATAAGTATATATGGACTAAGTCTTTAGTGGAGTAAAAAGGCAAGAAAGGAAGGCGTGGTATTCTACAACAGGGAGCTTGCTCTTTGATGAAAGTGTTCAGGAGCTGAAAAATCAGTTATCTCATTGCCCTCGTTACTGTATTCACAGATATCCAAATTAGAATTGCAATTCTAATTTTGTTTAGCAGGGCTAGGGATCAAACCTAGGGCTTCACTCTAGACAAGTGCTCTATAGTTGAGCTAATTTTCAGCTTTACAGATAATGGTCATGTCTTTTGTCCAGTTCCTATTTTGGCTCTGATAAGCTGGCACAGTTTCTGAAGATACAGTTCCAGATTAGGTTAGGCTTGTGGGTGACAAGGATGAAAAGCTCTTCCTTTTCATTTGTTCTTGATAAATCTAGCTGAGATTCATATTAGCCCCAAAGGCATATAAAAAGTCTTATGAACTGTTTTTGAGACTGTTGCCATCACTAAAAGGAGAGGGTTTTTTTTTGTTTGTAATGTGTATTGGTTTTGTATGTATGTCTGATGTTTGTCAGATCACAGAGTTACCATTTTAAGCTACTATGTGGTGTGTCATCTGGAAGAGCAGTCAGTGTTCTCTAGCCCCAAGTGTTTTTACTTTTAATTAGTCTGCTATTTCTAATTAATAGATGGGTATTTGAATTTGGATAAGGACTGTTTTATCAGCATGTTAATATTGGGGACAGTACTCAGAAAAGTACCTTAGAAACTTAGAAATTTCTAAAATACTAAGAGGAGTGTCATTCACTAATTAACATGTGAAAGAGAAACACCAGCAGAGCTGTAGTGTGAAAGTTTTTAATAATAAAGTTTCCATTATTTATTTTTCTCTTTCTTAAGAACCAAGCGCCATCTGATGGCCCCACTTTGCAGCATTGCACGACAGCGGCTCACTCATCCTGCAAGCTGGTCTATGTTCTCTTTACTTCTGCTTGCCAGATGATCTTCAATAATTTTTGCAAACAGGTCCCTCTTCAACAGATTATATGCAAGAGGTAAAAGCTGGCCAGCAACTTTGTGAAAATACTGAAAAGCAAAGAACAAAACATCAAGCCGAGAAAATGGTGGGTACAGCTGACAATGTGTTGAAAAGCACCTGTGTAACAAAGCCTACTTCCAAAATCATGTCATTAACTCAGTGGACATGGGATATGCAACTGCTATCCTGTCCAAGAGGAAACTGTTCACTTCAAAAAAGAAAAAAACAAAACAAAAGAAAAGCGTTTCTTAACAACCTTTTATACCCAACTGCTGTTAAATGCTTTTTCTCTTTAACTATTTTTACTAGTCTTTTTTTTTTTTTTTCATAGACTTTGTAATAGGTATGTCAAATATGGGCTTTCAAATCACTTATAATTAAAAAAAATACTTTTACATGTATGTGTTTTGCCTAAATGTGTAACACATAATTGGTGTCCAAGAGAATGTTAAATCTCCCAACACGAATTACAGACAGTTGTGAGCTGCCATGTGGATGCTGGTATTAAACCCAGGTCCTCTGGAAGAAGAGTGGTGCTTTTAACCATCTCTCCAGCCTCTCTCCCTTTACTCTGACTCATTCTTTACCCTAAAGTCATAGGTTTACTGAATTGATTTTACAGTATTGCTATTACATACACAGTAGGAGAAACCCAGATACATTACATTCTTTTTTGGCTTTTTTTTTTTAAGTCCATTTTTTAAAAAAAATTATTTATTTATTACATATACAGTGTTCTGCCTGCAGGCCAGAAGAGGGCACCAGGTCTCATTATAGATGGTGGTGAACCATCATGGGGTTGCTGGAAATTGAACTTAAGACCTCTGGAAGAGCAGTCAGTGCTCTTAACCTCTGAGCCAATTCTCTAGCCCCAACATTATATTCTTTTGCTGAAAAACA